CATCCGAGTCCTGACCAAACTGATCTGGATCTTAAGCTCGAGCTGCCTGAGCACATAGTAGCTGCCACAGAGCTAATTGACAGGGGGGCATGCCAGGAGGACGTGCCGCGGAACGTCTCAAGGGACGCGCCAAGCGACGTGCCAGGGGACGTGCCATGGGGACGCACCGCGGGACGTGCCAAGGGGACGCGCTACGGAACGTGCTGGGGACAAGCGTTTCGCTCGAGTCATCCTGTCAAAATCCTCATGCTAGACATCCGCCTGAGCGACCTGGACACGTGAAAACAAGCGTTTCGCTCAACACCTCCTCAACACATTCTCATGCTAGACATCCGCCTGGGCGAACTGGACACGTGAAAACAATTGGTTCGCTCGAGACATCCTCAACACACCTTCATGTGAGACGTCCGCCTGGGTGACCTGGGCACGTGAAAACAAGCGTTTCGATCGAGACGTGTTCAACACCTCCTCATTCTAGACATCCGCCTGGGCGACCTGTACACGTGAAAGCAAACGTCTCGCTCGAGACATCCTCAACACATCTTCATGTTAGACATCCGCCTGGGCGACCTGGACACGTGAAAACAAGCGTATATCTCAAGACATTCTCAACACATCCTCATGCTAGGCATCCGCCTGGGCAACCTGGACACGTGCAAACAAGCATCTTGATCGAGACTTCGTCAACACATCCTCATGCTAGACATCAGCCTGAGCGACGAGGGCGCGTGAAACCAAGCGTCTCGCCCGAGACATCCTCAGTAAATCCTGTCGCTAGGCCTCTGCCTGGGCAACCTGGAGGCGTGAAACCAAGCGTCTCTCGAGAGACATCCTCAAGATCTGGGCACGTGAAAACAAGCATTTCACTTCAGAGCTCCTCTGAATTCTGGCCCCCAGGAGAGGACAATCTACAACACAAAATTAGCCTGGCGAAGGACCCAACCATATGCAGTTGTGAATGCCGCAATTGTGCCGGGTGGTGGCGGACGCATGCGGGCGGTGCCACTGGGACCTTCCGTGGAGCTCCCTATGGGGCCACGAAACGCTGTACTGGGTGGGTGAGACGCGGTCAGCAAGGGCTGTGCTGCGTGGTGGCGGACGCATGCGAGCGGTGCCACTGGGACCTTCGGTGGAGCTCCCTATGGGGCCACGAAACGCTGTACTGGGTGGGTGAAACGCAGGCAGGGAGCAAGGGCTGCGCAGGGTGGTGGCGGACGCATGCGGGCGGTGCCGCTGGGACCTTTGGTGGAGCTCCCTATAGGGCTACGAAGCGCTGTTCTGGGTGGGTGAAGCGCAGGGAACAAGGGCTGTGCTGGGTGGTGGCGGACGCAAGCGGGCAGTGCCACTGGGACCTTTGGTGGAGCCCCCTATGGGGCCACGAAACGTGCGAGGGGTGTGCCAGAATGGGGTGTGGAACCGCATGCCAGCGCAGCCACTGGGGCCTTCGGTGGAGCTCCCTATGGAGCCACGAAACGTGTGAGGGGTGTGCCGAAATGGGGGGTGCATGCCACTGTTCGGTGGAGCTCCCTATGGGGCCACACGTGTGAGGGGTGTGGAATGGGGGGTGGAACCGCATGCGGGCGCAGCCACTGGGGCCTTCGGTGGAGCTCCCTATGGGGCCACGAAACGTGTGAGGGGTGTGCCAGAATGGGGGGTGGAACCGCATGCGGGCGCAGCCACTGGGGCCTTCGGTGGAGCTCCCTATGGGGCCACGAAACGTGTGAGGGGTGTGCCAGAATGGGGGGTGGAACCGCATGCGGGCGCAGCCACTGGGGCCTTCGGTGGAGCTCCCTATGGGGCCACGAAACGTGTGAGGGGTGTGCCAGAATGGGGGTGGAACCGCATGCGGGCGCAGCCACTGGGGCCTTCGGTGGAGCTCCCTATGGGGCCACGAAACGTGTGAGGGGTGTGCCAGAATGGGGGTGGAACCGCATGCGGGCGCAGCCACTGGGGCCTTCGGTGGAGCTCCCTATGGGGCCACGAAACGTGTGAGGGGTGTGCCAGAATGGGGGGTGGAACCGCATGCGGGCGCAGCCACTGGGGCCTTCGGTGGAGCTCCCTATGGGGCCACGAAACGTGTGAGGGGTGTGCCAGAATGGGGGGTGGAACCGCATGCGGGCGCAGCCACTGGGGCCTTCGGTGGAGCTCCCTATGGGGCCACGAAACGTGTGAGGGGTGTGCCAGAATGGGGGGTGGAACCGCATGCGGGCGCAGCCACTGGGGCCTTCGGTGGAGCTCCCTATGGGGCCACGAAACGTGTGAGGGGTGTGCCAGAATGGGGGGTGGAACCGCATGCGGGCGCAGCCACTGGGGCCTTCGGTGGAGCTCCCGTGTGCCGCATGCGGGCGCAGCCACTGGGGCCTTCGGTGGAGCTCCCTATGGGGCCACGAAACGTGTGAGGGGTGTGCCAGAATGGGGGGTGGAACCGCATGCGGGCGCAGCCACTGGGGCCTTCGGTGGAGCTCCCTATGGGGCCACGAAACGTGTGAGGGGTGTGCCAGAATGGGGGGTGGAACCGCATGCGGGCGCAGCCACTGGGGCCTTCGGTGGAGCTCCCTATGGGGCCACGAAACGTGTGAGGGGTGTGCCAGAATGGGGGGTGGAACCGCATGCGGGCGCAGCCACTGGGGCCTTCGGTGGAGCTCCCTATGGGGCCACGAAACGTGTGAGGGGTGTGCCAGAATGGGGGGTGGAACCGCATGCGGGCGCAGCCACTGGGGCCTTCGGTGGAGCTCCCTATGGGGCCACGAAACGTGTGAGGGGTGTGCCAGAATGGGGGGTGGAACCGCATGCGGGCGCAGCCACTGGGGCCTTCGGTGGAGCTCCCTATGGGGCCACGAAACGTGTGAGGGGTGTGCCAGAATGGGGGGTGGAACCGCATGCGGGCGCAGCCACTGGGGCCTTCGGTGGAGCTCCCTATGGGGCCACGAAACGTGTGAGGGGTGTGCCAGAATGGGGGGTGGAACCGCATGCGGGCGCAGCCACTGGGGCCTTCGGTGGAGCTCCCTATGGGGCCACGAAACGTGTGAGGGGTGTGCCAGAATGGGGGGTGGAACCGCATGCGGGCGCAGCCACTGGGGCCTTCGGTGGAGCTCCCTATGGGGCCACGAAACGTGTGAGGGGTGTGCCAGAATGGGTGTGGGAGGGGGAGGAGGGGGGAGGAAGGGGAGGAGGAGGAAGGAGGAGGAAGGAGGAAGGAGGAAGGAACGCGGGGCGACGTCTCTTCAAAACGAGGACCCAACACCACAGAATGGTTGGGAACAAGCGTTTCGCTTGAGACATCCTCAACAAATTCTGAAAAACCAGCGTTTCGCTAGGGACATCCTCAAATTGTAATTCGCCGGCCATACGCGACCTCGATATTTATCGCAAAAGAAATTCGCCGGCCCTACAGCCGTCAGATCCGGGGGCAAACCCCTAAAAGATAACCCTGGGCCCACGCCCTTTCCGGGAAAAGGATACTTGTTTCCTCCACCACACACCACCAGAACGCGCAGCCTCACGGCACAGTGCCACAGCGAAGAGCTGAACAAAAACGCTGCCCACGCACGTACAGTACAAAGCCGCGCAAAGTAATTATGGCCCTCAGCTAAACTGCAAAAAGCACAGAGTGGCTGTCATGGGTACGGTGCGCGGCGGCTCGCGGCAGGCTAGGCTGAAACGCCGTGCAAGCGGGGGGAAGTACAAATCCAACCGAGCGGGGATCAGACGTACGGCGCGATGAAAAGCTCCGTGAGCCACCACGTAAACCTACACGCCCACGGGAATCAAGCAACCAGGCGGCAGCACGAGGAAGTAAAGCAACCATCCCAAAGAGGGAGTGGACGGAGGAGCAGGAGAGGGGGGGGAACGCGCGGCCCACGAGCAAATTCAAACTCAGCATATGGTATATTTGCGCAGCACGGCCCAGCGATGCTTTGCTGCACCGCTCAGCATTACGATGTCGTGGCTGCTGTTTGTATTGCACCGTGTCGTCGACGTGCCATCGGTAATAGACATCGTAAAATGTGCCGCGCCGAGGTCATCGTCGAGGTTGGGCCTCTGTATGGTCTGATTGGTTTCTGCTGAACGCCCTGGCCGACTGGCCACGGGCCTTGTCCGCAGGACGCCCACTGGAGGGAGAGGATGAGGATCAGGAAGAGGGCTGAGACCTCTGGCGACTCGATTGTATAGCGCTTGAGTTGTGGTCCTTGTGTTCGGACTCCCAGGTCTCTCTCTCTCTCTCTCTCGGCCCTGAGTCAGTGAAAACGACCAAGGATGAGAACGTGTCGAGAGCTCCAGTGCTCTCGACTCGAAACAAACAGGACGTCGGAGGTCGAGAGGCCCTGGCCTCGAAGGCAACTCCTCATCACACAGCATGTTAGCGGCAATTCTGCAGATTCAGACGGGCATCTCGTTGTACTGGATCGCAGTCGGGGGCGAGCGGTGCGCATGGGCACATGGCACTGAGCAGCAACGTGCGCAGAGAAACGGCCAGGCCAGTCTAGGAAGACAAACGATCACCACAAACAAGGGCTCAAAGACCTTCACTCTCGACAGCCAAGGCTTCTTTCTCGGGCTAGCGACTCCTACGTCCTTTTCGCTGCGCGCTCGCATTTAACGCATCAAAGCGGCTTGACCGTTCACCAATGGTTTGAGTGTGTATGCATTGGTTCCAATATCATAGGAGGAAGGTTGGAAGTGATCGGGGCCAAATGCCTCGCTCGACATGCACAAGTGGATTCACTATCCTGCTCCTGCTCCTCCTGTACCTACTGCAGCTCATGCTGCTCCTGGTGTTCCTGATCCCCACCATTCTTCAGTCCCTGGTACTGATGCTTCTGGTCACACTAACCGTCGCCTGCTTGGAAGTTCGCAGGGGAACATGAATCCCACTTCGGGGCCGACAAACACCTGGTGTGCTAAGCACCTGCTCCTGACGTTGCTGCTGCTACTCCGCTGCGAAAGATGCCACCACAGCCGCATGCTTCGCAAACCCCCCGCAGGGGCCATGGCAGCGCCTTCTTTAAGGTCGGTCTCCGCCCCGATGAAGGTGCGCTTTGGAGCGAACAGGTCGGGCGTGCCATCGTCGGGGGCGACGAAGCCGAAGCCTGCAGCGCGTGGGCCACTCCAACCCGCCTCTGCCCATTCTTGCTGTTGCCTCTCTCGGTTTCTCATCCTCCTCCTCCTCATCATCATCATCATCAGAATCATCAGCATCATCATCATCATCATCATCATCATCATCATCATCATCATCATCATCATCATCATCATCATCATCATCGTCATCATCACCACCACCACCATCATCATCATCATCATCATCATCATCATCATCAACAACACCATCGCCATCACCATCACCATCATCAGCATCAGCATCAGCATCCGCAGCATCAGCATCAGCATCAGCATCATCATCAGAGTCAGCATCCTTTATCCCCCCTTATCCCCGTCCTCTGCTGCCCTACACTGCAAGATTGCTCTGCCGTGGGTGACCATACTGGGTGCGTGTCCGACTCCAGAAACCCTGAGTTCAAATATGTTGGCGTCTCTCTTTTACTTCCAACGCCCTCGGCCGCCGTGTGCTGAAATTCCGCCGGCGGAGCCGCCGACGTTCTGCTTCCGACGGCTTCCGCCAAGGGCGAAACAAGCAGAAGGAAACCTTGCTAGAACGGCCCACGTAGATGCGAGAACGGCGCCTATGCACAGTGACATGTCCATGTCTGGACTCTCTCCAGGCCCCGCTGCAGCGCGGTGCGGTGAATAGCTCTTCGGTCCTGAGGATGGAACAGCTATGCACCGTACCACTCCAAGGTCCAGTATCGACGACGCCTCGGAGGACGCCAACGCGGTAGGGTGCACACAAGTCGTCTGCGGAAAAGACCCTCTGCCCGAATTTGGTCCCCCGAGCTGTGGGCCTCGATTTCGCCTGCAGTTTCGCGCCGCGTGACGTCTTCTGCGGGCCCCGGGACCCGAAAGCGGGCCTGCGCAAGCCCGATCTCGGGAGAGAAGCCGGCTGGCCCGATCCATCTTCAACACGCTGGAGGTCTGGCCTCAATAACACGGAATGTCTGCATGCACTCCCTGAGATCTTGGCGATACAATTTTTGCACAACGGGTGTGCCCGGTTTCCAGGTCGGGACCCTCACGGATCGATCCAGCTCAAAAATGGCACAGACAGATGGGGGGCGGGGCTCCAGTCGTGATTTCGTGCGATATTGAATTGTTCTGTTACGTTCTATCAGGGCTTGAGAAGAGGGATTCCGAAGCGGTGCGAAGTACAGTAGGAGCACACGACAATCAGAAATTCTGCCAACAGAAATGTCGGGTCACATGTGTCGTCCCATCTTTGAACCTTCCTGAAGCGCCCCTTAACACCTGAAGCAGTGACATATCATCCTCGAGCCATTTTCGAACACTGCCAAAAATGCATGCTACGTCACTCAGACATCGAAGACACGACTGCCCACGCAGCAGGGGAGCACCACAGAAGATCACAGGCAAAAAGAAGATAAGGAGACATGATGTCTCGCAGCCTCACATGTTCCCAGCACTTCTCGATACATGCAACTAAGCTGCCTGTGCCTCTACTGGCGGCTGCCTGGCTTGAGCCACGATGTCTTGAGCAAAAACGGCTACGGATTCTGGCCCTTTCGCTTCTGATCGGCCTTTGAGGCTTCAAGAGTACCCCTAGATCACCCCAGAGAGCCCCAGGGAAAGCCCAGATGAACTCCAAGAGGGCCCCGAAGATTGCCAAGAGCGCCCCAAGGGCGTCACAAGAGGGCTCCAAGACGCGCGCGATGCGTCGGGCTCCCGAGGGACGGGGCTGGGGGGGTCGGGGGGGGGGCGGTCTGCGCGGATTTCTTGGATCGGCGCTGGACACCCCTCCCTGGCGCGCGGAACGCGCCAGGTGCCCAGGCGGGAGCGGCGCCCGCTTGGGCCTAGCTAGTGCAGGAACTCGCGCAGCTTCGCCTCTCGCCCAAACCGAAATCGATTTCCCAGGTGGGGGACCCAACCTCCGATCATTCGCTAGAAGGACGCAAGGCAGTTCTTTTTCAAGACGGGACTCTCGCCTGAGTGGCAGGCTCTCAAGGTGCTCGCCTTCCAAGGGGGGCTTCTTGTAGTGAGGAAGGCGTGTAGGGATTCATGAGGAACTTGGGACGGGATGGTGTAGCGCAACGTCGTTTACGCACCCTGGGTTTACTCTTGGTCCACTTCCTCCTCCTCCTCCTCGTCCTCCCCTCCATTCACTTCCCATCCCAAACCTTCGACGTCCTAACTTGTTCAACCCGTGTCCCCAGGAGTACACGACACCCTCCCCAAAGCCGTTTGCCCACCGCGGGCAATGTCTTTAGAGCCTGGGGCCCAAAGACGACGTCCGAAGGCCAAAGCGGGAAAAAAGCGCCGGGCTTGAAAAAGACACGACGTCGGACGGGCGGGGTCCTCCCGCTCAAGATCGACCCTCTGGATCTCTCCTGGGCCCAGGGTGCTACGCTCTGGTTGGATTGCCGAGGCGGATCTGACCGTGGCGACGGGGGCCGACATACACCAGTCTCACACCGAGGAGGAGGAGGAGGAGGAGGAGGAGGAGGAGCGCCTGGGTCCCCGGAAGTCTCTGGAAGTTTCCTCGGAATCCTCCAAAGGCCTCCTGAGGTCAGTGATCCATGGAGGTCTCCGCGAAGGCCTGCAGAGGCCTCCAGGTGCATCCCGAGCCCGAGGACATGTCATAAGCTGACAAAAGCCTCGATCCTCTGTCCTTGAACACCCTCCTCTTCGATGGGCCCCTGGCGGGCTCGGCCCCTTCCATGGGACCAGCTTTTGACTGTGTCTTAACATTCCTGGGGCCCCAAGCCTGCCTCCAGATAGCAAAACATTAAAAAACGCCCGACACGATTTTGTCAAGCCGCCGGACCTTCTGCCCTGGCGTCGGCGAGGCGACTGATCGTGGCGCTCAAGAGCACCGTGGTCACCGTGGTGTACATTTGGCGCAGGGGCTCAATGCATGTCTGTCCGTGCGCAACCCGAAGCCTTACCATGCTGCGTTTCACACAGGGAGGAGGAAGAAGGGGGGCGCCTTTGTCCGCTATGAACCTCTTCAGAGTCCCGCACCCCGTCGGCATGCCGCGGACCGGCGGCGCGCGACGCGGCGCGCGCCAGGGGGGGCACCGCCTGCGCCGCTGGGGCGAGTATATAGCGCCGATGGGGGGGTGGCATGGGACGCAGAAGGGAATACTAGTACTATGCGACCTCCATGGAGGCGCACGTCCGATCCGAACCTATGATACAAATGTCCTGTGGCACATTCAGGCAAGGCCCGCTTTGAGGAGCCGCCCCCATCATCGTGTAGCTGTAGGAGTGACCAGACAGGTCTGACCGCAACTCCCCAGCCAGTAGAACGAATGAGCGTGGTGGTATGACGAGGGCCACACTATAGAGCCGACTGGCATCGTAGCTGTGGCGGTGGTAAGCTCTCATACTTCAGGACCTTTGCCTGTCAGGAAGGACACGCCGACACTCCTGGTGGTGTGATGACGAAGGAGACAGTCACAAGGACGGGGATGGAGGAGGAAAGCAATCAGGAGGAGGAAGGAGCGAGGAAGGAGGATGAATTGGGGAGGAACGAGAAGCGAGGAGCAAAGAGCGAGGACGGAGGAGTGGCAGCAACAGCACGGCCAGGAGGAGGATCCGTCTTTTCTGACAGGTCCTCGAGCGCAGAAGCCGTGGAACGATGCGCGCTGACGCAGAGCCTGAGAGGGCAGCATGCCCTGCTGAAAAAATAGTTGCCTCGGATGCTGCTGCTCTTGCTCCTCCTGCCACCGCACTCGCTCTACCTGCCCCTCCTCCGCTCGGACGCCCCCATCACCTCCCTCCTCTTCCCGCTACTCATGTCCTCTCCCCGTTGCCCCCCCCTCACGAACCCTGACCTCCCCGTTCCGCCCACTCCAATTCCCCCCCTCCCGACCATTCCGCCCTCCACTCGGTTTTGTCCGCCTCAGAAACAACCCCCTTCCCCCACCGCCCCGTCCATCCGCCTCCCTCCCCGCCACGTCGTTCGCTCCGCTCTGCAGTGCTCCGCTCCCACCCCCCTTTGAAAGGTTGGGTTCTTCGCCACATGAGTTTTCACAAGCAATCGTGGCCGTCCAGACCACAAATGCAGTCGGCATTGAGGCGAGAATACGAGCCCTCATTAAAGCGTAAGGAGATCTCCGGCTGCTGGACCAGGCGATGTTGGGGGGCGGTCCCAGGCACCCCATCACCTCTGTAAAATTCATATGTGGTCCTTTTTCACATGTGTGAAAGTTCTCTAGCGAAAAACTATATTGAGGAAAAGTGCCCAAAAGCCTCGATGTTCGAGCCCCTTTCTCCTTCTGGTCATTCTCACGCAGCACAATCTGCACTCACAGCGCCACTTAGATGGGCAATCAGTAGACGTTGTAAATCCCACCAGCCCTCTGGGCGTAGGTGGTCTAACGATGTCTTTCTTTGTTCTTTCAAAAACCCTCTTCCCCTTCGGGGAGGGGCTTACCCCACCGGGCGCGGCTGGAGTGTGCGGCACACCTGGCGCACTTGGAGCACGTGGCGCATCTGGCGCACCAGGCGTGCCTGGCACGCTCAGGCCCCAGGGGTGCCTGGCGCGCGTGGCGCCCCTGGCACGCGTGGCGCACCTCGCCCACGCGTCGCGCACCTGGGGTCGGCTTTGGTTACCAGTAGCTGTCCATCCAAAGACGGCCGGTGAACATGCCCAGGCTCGGGTGTTATCTATGTGTAGGGAGACGGGTGGGAGTAGCTTGACCCTTCCCTCTACCCCCTCCCCTTGACTTTTTCCCAACCATCCTGTGGTGTTGGGTCCTCGTTTTGAATAGACAGCGCCCCGCGTCCCTCCTCCCTCTGCCTCCTCCCCCTCCTCCCTCTTCCCTCCTCCATTTCGGCACACCCCTCACACGCTTCGTGGCCCCATAGGGAGCTCCGCCGAAGGTCCCAACGGGTGTGCCCGAGTGCGTCCCGCACACCCATTTCGGCACACCCTTCACACGCTTCGTGGCCCCACAAGGAGCCCCACCGAAGGTCCCAGTGGGTGTGCCCGCATGCGTCCCGCACACCCATGTCGGCACACCCCTCACACGCTTCGTGGCCCCATAGGGAGCTCCACCGAAGGTCCCAGTGGGTGTGCCCGCATGCGTCCCGCACACCCATTTCGGCACACCCTTCACACGTTTCGTGGCCCCACAGGGAGCTCCACCGAAGGTCCCAATGGGTGTACCCGCATGCGCCCCGCACACAAATTTCGGCACAACCCTCACACGTTTCGTGGCCCCATACGGAGCTCCACCGAAGGTCCCAGTGGGTGTGCCCGCATGCGTCCCACACACCCATTTCGGCACACCCATCACACGTTTCGTGGCCCCATAAGGAGCTCCCCCGAAGGTCCCAGTGGGTGTGCCCGCATGCGTCCCGCACACCGATTTCGGCACACCCCTCACACGTTTCGTGGCCCCACAAGGAGCTCCCCCGAAGGTCCCAGTGGGTGTGCCCGCATGCGTCCCGCACACCCATGTCGGCACACCCTTCACACGCTTCGTGGCCCCATAGGGAGCTCCACCGAAGGTCCCAGCGGGTGTGCCCGCATGCGTCCCGCACGCCCACACCCCTCACACGCTTCGTGGCCCCATAGGGAGCTCCACCCCAGGTCCCAGCGGGTGTGCCCGCATGCGTCCCGCACACCCATTTCGGCACATCCTTCACACGCTTCGTGGCCCCATAGGGAGCTCCACCGAATGTCCCAATGGGTGTGCCCGCATGCGTCCCGCACAACCATTTCGGCACACCCCTCGCACGTTTCGTGGCCCCATAGGGAGCTCCACCGAAGGTCCCAGTGGGTGTGCCCGCATTCGTCCCGCACACCCATTTCTGCACAACCCTCACACACTTCGTGGCCACATAGGGAGCTCTACCGAAGGTCCCCGTGGCGCAGTCCGCATGCGTCTCCCCCACCCAGTACACCTCCGTCGGAGGCCGTCGGAGTTCCGCGCCTCGCTCGCCCGTCGTCGCTCTGCCCAGCGGCAAGAGCCTTGCCCGCTATCAGCCAGCCAGCTAGCTCTCTTTGCTGCGCGCAGCGGACGACCCGCGCGCGTCGCTGGGACCCCTCCGGGGCGACCTGCGCGCGTCGCTGGGGCTCCGCGCTGCGCTGCGCCCGCAGCCTTGGACCTTTTGGGTGCGCGGGCAAAGAGGGAGTAAAAGAAGGGGAGGAAGCGGGCGCGATCCTCGCGGTGGCGTCGCGGCGCGCGGGAGATGCCGTCGGGGAGTCCCGGGGAAGCTCCTTGCGGCGGCCACACCCAGCGTCACGAGTACTCAGAGGCAGTCATTCTCAAACTACTCACATTCATATACAATTACACCATGCTTTGTCATACTCGCATTCGTGCGCGTAGACTCGCTCGCACGCAGATTCATTCACAGTCAGACGCACTCGCGCTCAGATTCACCCGCGCTCAGTCTCCCTACGTACTCAGATCAATCGTTTTCGTTCGCGTTGTGTACCACGCCACTCATTTCGGCACACCCCTAGCACGGTTCGCTGCCTCATAGGGATCACCACCCAAAAAGGGAATCACAATTGCGGTACTCACACCTGCATATGGTTGGGTCCTTCGTCAGGCTAATTTTGAGGGGGGTTCGCGGGTGGTCGGAAGGGCCCTTTTTCGGCCCTTGGGAGGGCAAAGTGTTTTGACACCCCTCACGAGGATCGTGGCCCCCGAGGGGCAGACCTCGATCGGGAGAAAGCCTCCTTTGATCGATAGCCTCGAAGATGGCCCCAAGAGGCGCTCCAGGGCTCCCAAGAGAGCCCCAAGAGAGCCCCAAGAGGGCTCCAAGAGGGTCCCAAGAGGGTCCCAAGAGGCACCCGAGAGGAGGCCCCCTAGAGGCCCCCAATAATGCCCCCAAGCGGCCTCAGCGAGCCCAAGATGACCTCCAAGATGGCTCAGATAGCCCAAGTTGGCTCAAGATGGCTCGCAAGATGCTCCAAACGGCCCCAAGACCGCTCCAAGAGCGCCCAAGAGCGCTCCCAGAGCGCCCCAAGAAGCGCTTTGCGGGCTCCTGAGGGGGGAGCTGAGTTGGGGACCCCCCCCCCCATCCTGTAATCGATGGCCTCCAAGATGATCCCAAGAAGCCTTCCAGGGTTACCAAAAGGGTTCCAAGAGGGCCCCCAAAGCTCCCAGAGAGCACCAGCAGCAGCAGCAGCAGCAGCCGCAAGAATACCTCTAGATAGTTCCACGAGTCCTCGTCCGCGTCGTCCTCATCCTAGTCCTCGTCCTCCTCGTCCTCCTCGTCCTCCTCGTCCTCGTCCTCATCCGCGTCCTGGTCCTCCTATTCCTTCTCGTCCTCATCCTCCTCCTGCTCCCTCCTCCTCCTGCTCTTCCCCTCGCCCCCACGCGGCCCCCAGGAATGGCCCGAAGAGGCCTTCCAAGGCCACCCCCTTGCTTCCAGAGATCTCTCGGTTCACCCTGGTTGCTCGCTGTGCTTCCCTAGATGTGTCTCTTCGTCCCTTTTCCCGTCAGCGATCATGGGCAGGGCTTCTGAATGGGCTGGTGGGGATGCGCGAAGCGTGAAGAATTGCATTTTCATGCCACTTTCTTAAGCGCTGCAGAATTACCCATTACTGGGCCCCCATCTTGGTGGCTCTGACACTCGTAACTCGTCGCCTCACGGCTCACTTGGGGATCTTGTGCGCGAGCACGCAGAAGCCCATTGCCATCATGGGCGACAGGAAGAGGATGTTGTCGAACCAGAACCTGCCCGTGTGAAAGATGACAGGGGGCAGAGTGCCGAGCGGAGAGCTGTTGATACACACACATAGGTAGTACTGTTTGTTTGTATGCACATGAACACACACGCAGAAAAAAAATGGCAGGTCGAAATAGAGAACGAGAGGGGAACCAACCATATGCAAGTGTGAATGCAGCAAGGCAGGAAGTTCTCTGTGGGGCCACGGAACGTGTGAGCTGTAAGCCGAAATGCGCGGCGACGACGCACGCAAACATTGCTACTGGCGCCTTCGGTGGAGCTCGGGGACGCATGCGGACACCGCCACTGGAGCCTGCGGTGCAGCTCCCTATGGGGCACGAAACGTCTGAGGGACGCATGCGAATACCGCCAAAGAAAACCATCGGTGGAGCTCCTTATGGGGCCACGAAACGTGCAAGGTGGGTGCCGAAATAGGCGGGGGAAACGCACGCGAACACCGAAACTGGAGCTCCTCATTGGGTCACGAAAAGCGCGAGGAGTGCGCCGAAATGGGCCAGGGTGACGCATGCGAACGCTGCATCATTTTCGGGGTGTCCCCACACACACACACACACACACACACACACACACACACACACACACACACACACACACACACGCACGCACGCACGCACGCACGCACGCACGCACGCACGCACGCACGCACGCACGCACGCACACACACACACACACACACACACACACACACACGCACACACACACACACACACACGCACACACACACACACCCTGTTACAACCGCTACACTGCAAAATAAAGAAGCAAGCGTGAGGCCCCCGAGCTTGCCACTTGAAACTGGAGATGAGAGATGCGTGAAACCAGGGAGGGACGCGGCATTGGGAACCGAGAGAGTCAGGATGGGAGAGGAGCCGACTTCCATCCTGCTATGCTCCTCGCCGCTGCCCCATCAGCGACCAACGGGTGTTCCAAATGGTGAGCTTGACGTTGCCCACCATTTCCATGCTGACCGGTGCGACGCGCGGCTGCATCGGCAGTGGGAGACCCTTGTTGCGAATGCAGATCCTCGCGCGCGGGAGCCCACTCTGCATCCTCCTCCCCAATTTCCTACTCCGCCTCCTCCTCATCCTCATGTCCCCCTCCTCTGTTCCCTTGTCCTCCCCATTCTCATCCTCGCCCACCTCCCCTGTCCGCCAGGAGATGAGATGAGCAATCGGCCTGAAGCCAGTGCGTTCGGGCGCCTAGCGCCACTCACTGGAGGCCTCTGAAGCCTCCTCGAAACAAAAATCGTGGGCCCCTTCTGGACCACTCTCTGCGCCCTTGCGAAGGAGCCTGGCCCCCTCGGCGCGCGTGGCCGCCAGGTCAGACTCTCGGAGGCCAAAGGCCCTCAGCACCTCGTCACGGGACGTCCTCCCCCCCGAAGTGCCCACGCCGCGCAGCCCCCCACTCCCCACGTCCTGATCCGAGGCGCTGGGGGCTGGCTCGCCAGAGCCAAAGAGCGACGCAAGACGCAGCCACGCCCCCAGCGGAACTCCGACTGGGGGATCAAAGCACAGGTCCTTAAGACCTGCCTTGTACAAAGGGTACGGGCCAGCCTTGATCAAGGCCAGATGGTACTTCAGGCCCGACCCTGCGAGCTCTCGGAGGCACGGCAGGAGGAGGGCCTTCGACGGGCGCTCGGAGCTAAAGAAGGCGCCGCACGCGCAACAAAAAATGATGGCCTTGCCATCGTCTCGACCCGACCTGGCACACACCGTCGCGCGCAGGAGCGGGCGGCCGTGGAAATTGCACCCGACATCTCGGTACTCGGCATAGCCGTCCGCAGGAGCCGCCAGGGTGGGGCCATCAGCACACGCTGATGCCTGCCCCTGCCCTTCAGGCTGGGCCCCTGGCTCGTCTGGCGGGGCCTCCACCAGCTCTCGGCTTGCCAGGTAGCTCTCCAATAAATCATCGTGGTCCTGGCAGGCCTCTCCATCCCCCACCAACGCGTGCAACCGACCGCACCACCGGCCCATCTCCCTCGTGGCCTCTACCAGGCCACGCCAGAGGTGGTACTGCTCTCCTCCACTCCGTGGTGGGCGGCACCACGCTTCGCGAATTCGTCGGCGGCATCGTTGCCGCGCTTCTCCCAAAGGGTGGCGCGGTCGACCTGCGCGTCCACCATGCTGCAATGGGCCCTGGTCATGTGGGCCGTGAAACCGTTGGCCTCGAAAGCAGCCCAAAAAGGAGCCCACGCGTGGGCCCGAGGGTTCCCCGCGCTCGCTCCAGCTCCTGGGCCGCCCCAGAGCGTCGAGACCGTGCCTTCACAGTCGACGTGCAATTCGAACGGAAGCATAGCGACTTGGCAGATCACGCGCACGCCGTGATCCTCAGCCCCCCGGGACGACTGAAAGGGCCCATGGCCCATGGGGGCAAGGCCATACGCGGCCGCCAGCACTTCGCCAAAGCGGACGCATAACAACGCACCACCCCGCCCTGGCGAGAATCCTGGACCCAGGGAAGCGGGCCGAGCCGCCTAGAAACAAAATTCCAATCACATAGCCCGACTCGGGCCTCTGTTGCCAGAAAAAAAAAATGGAGGTCCCGGCCCCTTAAGGGGCAGCTCGAAAAGGGGGCTAGGGTCACGGAAAATCCCCCTCGCAAAAAGATCGCCCGCCTCAAAACTCGAAGCGTTCACCTTTCGGGCTCTACAAAGTAGATTCGCCGAAACGTGGTCCCGTCTCAGGGCCGCGCGCACATCGCACTCGTAGTATCTATGCCAGCAGGAACCGTCGGGGTGGCCACGCGCCACACAGTTGCCCGACGGCGCCAACCCTTTTTGCGGAGCCGAGCTCGGGACCAGCAGGGCCCCGAAATGAGGGCCCTCAAGGCCCGCTGCTGGTGCGCTGACCAGCTGGCGGAAGTCCCATGGACAAGCGGCTCCAGAGCCGACCAAAAATTATTCACTGCGTGGAGCTCCCCATATGTGCATCTATTCGCATGGACCTGTCCGCCGTGAATGTCTAGGCGCAAGAGGTTTCGAATACAAACGGGCTTCAGTTGTGACGGTCTGGTCATGAATCTAACTTCGAATGAGGTGGAGTGTGAATGAGCCTCAGTAGCATGAGCGCGTTTATGCGCATGAGCCGGGGGCCTCCTGGGGCCTTCTACAACCTATTAGGGCTTCCTGGGGCCTCCAGGAGCCTCTTGGGGCCACCTGGGGCCTCCTGAAACCTCCTAGGGAGGATTCGTGCCCCAGGGGAGGCACAATCCATAGCAACAGACGTAAATAAAACATTGCGGATTGGAGCCACAGGAGAAGGGCAATCTATAGACACCAAGGACTCGTACCCCAGGAGAGGCCCAATATATAGGAACATAAGTAAAACAGTTAGGATTGTGTACAAATGAGAAAGACAATATATAGAAACATGCGTATAACATCAAGGATTCGTGCTCCCGGTGAGGCCCAATATATAGGAGCAAACGTAAAACACATGGGAGTGGAGCCATTCCTGTTGCATTCTGAGGCCTCCTGCTCTTGGGGCCTCTCGGGGCCTCCTGTTGCCTTCCGAGGCCTCTTGGCGTTTCCTATGGCCTCCTGCGGCCTCCTGTGCCTTCCCGATGCCTCCTGGAGCGTCCTGGGGCCTCCTGGAGGCCCTGGGGGCATCCTCTGGCCTCTTGAGTCTTTCTGTGGCCTCCTGATGCCTCCTGGGACCTCATGTGCTCTCCTGGGGCCTCCTGGAGCCTGTTGGAGCCTCCTGTGGCATCCTGAAGAGAATACGTGCCCACGAGTCTGGCCACCAAAACAAGCAAACCGCTTGAGACATCTTCGGAATCTGGCCCACCTGGGGTGTGAAAGTGAGCGTCTCGCTCGAGACATCCTCCAAATCTGCCCCGAAAGCGAAGGATGTTGGAACAGAAAACAGGCAAACCGCTTGAGACATTCCTACAAAACGGCCGCGAACGGGACCGTGCAATACCCCTCGGCGGCTCCCCTTAGGGACGTGAAAATGAGCGCCTCGCTCGAGACATCCTCCAAATCCGCCGACCCCTTGGGGTTCATCGGCGCGTGAAATTTTCCCCCCCCAAACCCCTCCCCCGGGAGCTCGGTCCGGTCGATTTGGAAGGGGGGGGGGGTCTGTTCAAGTTCCCCGGTTCCCCCGGTTTCCCCGGGGGGGTCATCCGCTCCCGAAAATCCTGCAGGGACTCCTCCGGTGGCGTCGAAATGGCCCCGGGACGCACCACGACGGCTCAAGAGGACCTCCACGTGGCCTTCGGTGGCTCCAAGATTCCCCAATATGGGCTCAAGACAGCCCACGATGCCTCCAAGACGCTCCAAGAGGCCCCGAAGGGGCGCTCCAAGAAGGTCCAAAGCAGCGACAAGCATTGATTTTCCATTGGGAAACGCACATTTTAAGCATCGACGACTTTTCAGCCTGCACGGAGTTGCAGCCAGTCTACGAGGCCCCCAAGGCCACCCCATGACGTCCCAAAAGGGTCCCGAAAGGCGCCCAAGACGGCCCAAAACGGCGCCAAGACGGCCCCAGAGGCTCCCGAATCGGCCCAAAAGAATCCCAAGACGGCTCCTAGAGGGGCCCCAACGGCGGAGCCCGAACCGAAAATCCGAGCCCTCCGCTCCCACCTGGCCCTGGGACACCCCACGAGCCGCCCAAAAGGTCCCATGAGACCCCCAAAAGACTTCCAAAAAGCTTCCGAAAGGCCTAGAAGAGGCCCCAAGAGGCCCCAAAACGGCTATCAGTGAACTTCGAAACTACCTCCACGAAGCCTGCGAGATGCCTCCCCGGAGATCCCAGCGAACTTTGCACAAACCTCAGACCCACAACCCGGGCACGGTGGCGTGACATGCCGACTGTAAGTAG